ATACTTTGTTTTTTGGGTTCATATGCAGGATCGAGTGTTAGAATGGAGATAATCCACTAATACAAATTGAGTCATTCGATGATGCAATCATGGTTTTTGAAAGAAAAGACGAACTCTTTGATAAGTCCCTAGACAAACTCGGATTATAATTTGAAATGTTTTATTTAGATATATTATAACATTGTTTTTAAATTGTATTTATTTATATTACAACATTGTATTAATAAAATTTCTTATAATTAAGGCATTATATTTGAAAATTTATCCAATTTTAACATTTACTTTCACCTTATGACATTACACTTAACCACATATAGCAATGTAAATTGATTTATATGTTGATGAAATTGCTATAATTGTTGTAATTAGAAAATATAAAAGTAGGATGTTATATTAACCAAATCAACTGAAGTACATTACATTTTTTTTCCAGATATTCCTACTACCTTTTCCAATTGATGTCATGACACAAGATTTGAGAATTGTGTTGCAAGATGAAAGGGTGCACCAGACCCTAAAGATCGACCATGCCAAGTTTTTTGACCCATGTTTCAGGAATTTAGAATTGAGAATCGGGTTGCATTTAATCCAACTACCTTTGGTCATTGTTAGTGTTTCTTTCAATATTGGTTGGTTTTTGTATGGCTTTTGATCTCATCCATCAAAATGGTTCAGTTTTTATGGAGTTTTTGGTCATTGCTTCTCAGGAATTGTTGGCGTTTGATCTCATCTATCTCGGTTAAATGATATTAATATTCTGCTTGCTTTGTATTTTGTTGCTGCCAAGTGCCAAAGTACGTGACACTCTAATCAAATTGATCTTTATTTACATGGTGGTGTATTTATCGTTGCTTTACATATAATTCTTCCAATGTCCCCTTGGTGTTCTTCCCGATGATCTTCCAAGCATTTGGTTATCATTCATCAAAAAACAAAGATATGAGAAAAGATGTCTTCTATTTTTTTTACACGTATATTGTTTATTAATGAAAACTAAACATCTTTAATAACATGAAACAATTTATTTGTCGCTAAATATAACATGATATATATGATAATAACTAAAGGCCCACTTTTATATCAATTTATTTTCTTTAAGTTTGTGGTTATTTTTATAAAACATCCAAATTTTTAGACATGTAGTAATGGTTAAACATTCCATATTCATTCCAAAATTGGACATTCCAATTTAATTATAAAATTTTCATAATAGAAGAAAAGAAAGTAAACATTGTGCCTTTTGGAATCCAAAAATATGTAGTATATGTTAAATAATTGTTTAAATGTAGTAACTATTTACGCAAAAAATTAATCATAAAGCTATACGTGGCGGCCCCTAAAGGCGTAACTGACAGGTTCTCGTTTATCTGCCCATCCGAGTCAATCTCTAGAAACTAATTTTGGACATAAATTATTTATACCTGTCGCTTAGTGCGGGTAAACGGCTAGTATATATATATATATATATATATATATATATATATATATATATATATATTAACCGTAATTTTTAGGGGCCCTAAGATTTGGCGAGGCCCGGGGCGGTCGACCAACTTGCCCTCCTCTTGGGCCGGCCTTGGTTACACAAATATGATATACCAATATGATATAGAAAATGGTTTGAAAAGTGATTCATCAATAGCTAATTATATTATTTTTAACACCAAAAAATATATTTTATATATACATTTTTTATTTTTTTTTTCCTAATTTATATAGATTTTAAAAATACTCCTTATATTTAATATTATACAAACTTTATTGCATCTTTCAAAAAATAGTTTTATAATTATAGTATTGCACCAATATAATCAATCAACTGATTTATACAATTATTCAAACTAATTTCTAAAGCAATGTTTATTAAATAAAAATTATATTTATAACGCACATTAAATAAGGGTAAATATCATTGTTGGACAATAAATTTGTAATGATCACTAAACTTATTTTATGGATATAAAGTCGGTTTTGTTGGGTTTAAAATTTCCCTTTCGAACATTTGAAGTGGTAAGTTGGTTACCCATTTGCGATGTCACTCATACATGTTGACTACAGTCAACAATTCTTCATAAAGGCGTCATCCCCTCCTTATCAACCATCTCCCTGGCTGTTTAATCATCCATCACCAAATAGTCTCCACTATTTTTTGAACAACCGAAGGCCATCCTATTTTTCTTCATAGAGCCAACATAACTACTGTGAAAACCCCACCATCATCACATTCGATCACCAACAAATCAAATTTATTGTTACAAAACACACAAATAATACATTCCTTGTTCTTTGTTTATCTTCCACACCAGCAATCAATTTTTGAAACCGAAAGAAGATGAAGGTAGCAAATCCTGCGTGAAAGAACTAAAAGCAAACCCTTTTCATCGGTTCATTGGAAATCCTAATTATTGAGTTCTTGTTTATTTATATTCTTCGATTGGAACCTGTTTACGTGCAAATTTAGTTTTACGATAGATGATTTGATTTTTGTTCTTGCTGTTAAGACACACATGCATATATAGGGTTCGAATAAAAAAAGGGAAGGAGGACCTGTGATTAAGCGTAGAATAAGGGGCATAGATTTATAAAGTTAGAATGAATGTAATTGAGGAGAAGAAATCAATTGAAAGAAATGTGGATTCAAGTGGACAACTATGTGTCGGTCATGTCACGCTAACTTAGCAGCCACATTTTCTCCAACTGATTGTATGACATAGTAGACAAGTTCTTTCAGGTTTAAGGGACAAAATAAGCATGTCGGCATCTAAATTATGCCCATATAAAACCAAAAAAACAAGTTGATTGACGATTCAAACCCATTCAAGAAAGTATGTTGCCCAAGAATGATAATTAGTACATTAAAACATAACAAGTCAATTAAATAAACTAGAAATAAGGTTTGACATCATTTTGGTGTAAATATATAGTGTGATACCATTTTTTTTTTACTAAAATGGTGCAAAAAATGGTATTTGTTGGAGAGAAATTGTGCAAGAAATATTGTATACAATAGGATTTGGTATTGGGCTAAAGATGCCCTTGTTGTTAATCACAACACTTATTTATTACATGTATCCCACGAAAGTGTCATAAAAGAATCCTTATATATGAAAAAGGGCCAAATCCATATCCTAACGTCTTCTTTATTTAAGCACCACCAAATAAGATATATTCTAGAGATTTTGGTTTGTATTTTGTGTTTGGTTTCAAAATAAATTCTTGCGTGGTTCATCTTATGGTCAATTTTGGATCTCATATTAGATTTCATTTTGATGGGTTTTTGAGACGAGATCCAATCACCCTAATCTCAAATTTGGAATCTACAAAAATAAATAAATAATAATAATACGTAATAATTAAAAAACCAAAACCAAAACAAGCTTCAAAATTACCTTTCATAAAAGGTTTTGTGTATTTATCCTTCAAAATCTCATATTGTGAAAAGTATGAGGTTGAAGCTAGACATTTGGAGCACCAATCAATATACAAGATGTGAACGAGTTTCAAGAGATGGACAATTCGATTATATTTAATTGGAGTGAATATATCATCCTTCTATCAAAAATAGTTGTGTGATGAACATGTGATGTCATACGCTAAAGATAATTAAAAAAACAACTTATATTTGTTTAATGTTTATTGGTAAAAAATGGAATAAAGGATGATCATTCAAGTATTGTTGGAGGCATAGTAAAACGGTGGGTGTGTATCAGTTCTAAAAAAGGTAAAATAGTTTAGTTTAAAGAGTCAATTATAGAACTAACTAGTGAAGAAACCCGCGTTGCGGGATTAGAATTTTTGGTTTGCATAATCAGAATTTATTATGATAGTCGAAATACATGACTTTTACATTTATAAAGTTGTATTCGTTTATGGAGAGTCGCAAGTATGAAGTCCAGATTGTTTTCCATTGATTGGTCGTCAATAGCTGCATCGTGAAACAATTTTTTTAGGAAACCACACTCTTGGTGTTGTTCATCTGTGGCGATGGTGTTATAGGATTTGTTGTCCATGACGAACCCTTCTCTCAATCTGGTATGTGCAGGCGTGCAGCTGCAAGCAGATCCTGTATTTACTGGGAGTCTAATATAATAGATGTGGAAAGTGCAACGTGTGTTCTCGGGGTGCAGATGGATGAATATAGTGACATGCAAGTCCTAGTGTCTACTTTTCAGGTGGTGTGCTGTCAATTTTTTGTACTTGTTGGAACCTTTTATGTCATATCGTAACACATAGATACTGAAAATATTTTTTAATTGGTCAAAGAGGATTTAGAGAGCAGTTTGGGCCCAATACATGAGTTACTGGGGATAAAGGCCCAGTGCAGTAACAATAAAAGAACGTAAGTTTAGCCCAGTTGTTTTGCAGTCATTGAGGATATATAATTTTTAGTCGTTCAACCAAGAAAATGTGGTATTGGGTTTTCCAATTTTATGATAATTTATGATTTAATCTGAAATTAACTGTATGTTTACTATTTAACTTTGTCATTATGTTGTAGAAAGGATCCGATGAAAATGAGAGGTGTCAAGATTGATACGTTGGAGGCCTTTAAAGAAGTATATTTATTTATTATGGGTTGTGTAGAATATAAGATGGTTTTATATTATGTATCTGTATTCTTTCTTAGTATGGATTGTCGTATTAGATGTGGTTTGTAGAATGATGGTAAATCGTAAATATTAGTCTTTTTTTGTAGCGATATATGTATTCTGAACGGAATCGTAGTGACTTACTTTAGCGCTTATGTAATATCTCCTGAGCTATTGAATATGTTTGGATCTGTGTTGTTGTAGAGCACAGTATAGGATGCAAAAGATGGAATGCATTTGGAGATATTTATCATAAGGCATAGGAGGAAGTTAGATTGTAGCAGGTAAAGGTGTTTGAACAAAAAACTGAGTGGTATAAACATATCATATGGAAACGTAGCTGCCAAGGATAAAAAAAAAAGTAAAAAGATTTAAGATGAAAGCATATATCCCAGCTGCATTTGTAGCCAATCAAGGGTTGTCTTTATGCGACCTTAATCTTTTCTGAGGCTGTTTCTCTGTAGAGCAAGAAAAAGTGAGTTAGTGACAAAGTTTTTATTGACATTTTTTGTGTGTGTAATAAGATTGTTTGTATACCTAAGGGGGTGTAAGACAACTGTTTTGAGACATCTGATGTTTGTGATGTTGTAGATCCAATTGAATCTTTACGGTATTGGTCAGGTAATCTGGTTTCAGCCATCGGGGTAGGGGTCTGTGGGATTGTTGACTGGGTGACAGGTTGGAGATCGGCAATATCCACAAGGAGAAAACGGATGGTACCAGCTGCTGAGGTTCTTAGTAACTGAATTGTCATTTGTTTTACAGGTGATGTATTTGTCTTGATAGAGGTAGGCAAGTTTCGTCTACCTAGGTGTGTATTTTCTGCAAAGAGTTTGTCTGGCCCTTTGCTAATTATTTTTCGTGCGACAGAATCAGTTATGGATGCAGATAAGACACCAGTTTCGTCTGTAACAGTTACATTTAATTTATATCTGCATAAAGACATGTGTTACTGAGTCTGTGGTAAGTTGTCAATTTGTTGTCACGTTTAGAAGGTGATGAACTTACATGAAGTTTGGTGTTGTAACTGTACCATGTGCACTGCAAAACCAGTTGGTGCCTTTTTCAAAAATAGGATCTTTACAGACAGGACATGTCACTTGACACCAGTAATCTTTAAAGAAGACATGTTGGATTGATGCTTTCAGGTTGAATGTCTTATCCTGAAAATGCAGAAAAGGAAGTATATATAAATCATTTAGAGGAGATATCCGAATAAATTGTTTGGTTATGTATTACCAAAAGCTCAGAACGTGTCCTCTTTGTGAGGTCATCAATTGTTGTTTGTATGCCTGTATGTTCACTTATAGGTGTTGTTGGACCTGTATAGCTGCGGAATGCAGAAAACTTATGTTAACTAATTTGTATGTCTGTGATTATGCTGACATCGTTGACTTTGTGGCAGTTGTTTACCGGTGTATCAGTAGGGTAGTGTCTGGGATGTCAGGATTAACATAGAGGTGTGTTGCAACTGAAGATCCGTGCCTAAGCACTTGTTTAGAATAAACAGAGAAGGGGGTAAATTTGTTGGTTTTGTCTTTGTAGAAAAGAGATATCCAATGTAAAACAAAGATGAAGAAATAATACCGTCAATTCTGGAAGCCTTTAGGTTGGTAACCGCAACAACTGTTGTTACAGGGAGAGGCAGTAATTTTTGACGATCAAACTTCTCTGGACATTTGGTGCATTCTTTCCAAAGATTAATTGCAAGTTCATCACCACTGAATTTGATATACACAATGAAGACTAATTAGAGGATTTAAGAACATATATATATATATATATATATATATATATATATATATATATATATATATATATATATATATATATACAATATTTTTATTGTGGCATTACTTTTCATCAGCTAAGACCAGCAATAGAAAAGGCTCTCCATCTTTTTTGTTGCAATCCTTCACTTTGGTGATGACTCCAATGAAATCTGTAGGTGTGAGAAATATATATTCAAAAGAGAAGAACTGTGATGTTATCTACACAATTTAATGTGAACGTTTTTGAAGCAATGATAGGAAAGAGGAAAAAATAGAGATATACATAAAAAAATGTAAAATTGCGTCAACAATGATTGTAGATTTCATGAGGTACCTGGACAATATGGTGGGTTTTCTCCCAACTCTAGAATTTGTTTTTTTGGTAGGAAACGAAACCAACTTGTTGGAAGGATAGATGTGTTAGGCATTGGTTGGATCGTGGATGCAATCCCAACATCTATGTAGAAATCCTGTTCTAACATTTTTTGATATTGATCCAACAGAGGACATGTATATTCATCAATGGTAAAACAGTCAGAGATTGTGAGTATAGACTCTATATAACCCTGGTTGGTTCGTTGGCCTAATATCTGAATGGCGTCTCCCTGATACGGTTATTGACATGTGATGCTAGTTAGTTCTGATAAAAAAAATCTTTACAGAAACAGAGAACAAACACAAAGTTAAATAAGAACAGCTTACAAATTTGTCGACTGCCAGATACCATGTTTCATGGCGGCGGTTATCTGGTTTCCATTTCCGTAGTATCCGTACTTGTAATGGTCCTCCAATACAACCATATTTGAGTTCTGAAATGGTTGTCATCTTGTATTCAATAGTTCAACTAATATACAGTTAACACTTGTTGTTAGAAAGAATTACATAATTTGTAACTGGTAACAACGGAGTAAACAGGTAAAAAAAATTAATAAAGTAAAGCAAAAAGTATATAAAAGATAATATTATTGGCTATGGAATTAGTTAAGCAAGAAAAAAAAAGTTATTTACTTTTCCATTATATTATGATTACAAATTTATACTTTAGACAGCAAATCTCTGAAAACTACATTTTTTGTCAGATTATGGACATTATTGTCATCATTGTTTATGAGGACTTTGATCGAGTCTCGAGATGTTGCCCTAGACAAAGCAACATAAAGCTGACCATGTGTGAAAACATGTTGTGGCAGATAGACTCCAATTTTCTTAAGTGATTGTCCTTGGCTTTTGTTTATTGTCATGGCATAACACACTTTAATTGGAAATTGTTTTCTTGCAAATGAAAAAGGTAGGTCTGGTGGATTGTGAATGAATTTGATACGGGGGATGTATACTTGTTTCCCAATACACGTGCCTGTTATGACAAATGCTTCTATGACCGATGGAAGTAAGTGGGATACTATAAGTCGGGTACCTTTACAAAGACCATCCTTCTGACTAATGTTTCTCATCAAAATAATGGGGATCTTTGGTTTTAAGGTAAGCAAATGTGCAGGGATGTTAGCAAAATGCAGCTGGTTTAGAAATTCTATTGGATATAAACCTTCTAATTCTGATGTGTATTTACCATTAGGTTGCATTGTGTCTGTGCTCCTATAAATCCTGTGAACGTTACCTGTCATTTGGACAATGTGTTCGTTAATTTTGTCAGCAACCTCATTTGTGGGACATACAATTGCTCTATCCGAAAGATCAATAGCAGATGCGTTGTGAAGGACACCATCCCCATAAACAAAGTCTATCAGAAGCTGCAGTGAGTTCTTTGAAGGAGGAATTAAAAGATGGTCTGGTATCTTTACCCAAAATGAATTTGTTGGGTCTTCTTTGTCAGGTTCACCTATAGTCCCATTACCAACTTTAAGTATCCATTCTGCGAAATCCGACGTAGAGAACTGGCAAGCAGGAGCAGCAGTTGCATTCATCAGCCTCATATTATCAGTTAGCCTGTAAACCTTAAAGGATGTCCACAGATAAGAATGAGGCAATGTTGAAGAGATGATGGCTTCGCGTGTACTCTTTGACTTTACATGTAATGTTTGTCTAAAGTCTCCTCCAAGAAGAACAGAAACACCACCAAACGCTTTATCATCACAGTCAAGAATGTCACGAAGTGAGCGGTCGACACATTCAAAACAACGTCGATCACTCATTGGTGCTTCATCCCAAATAATTAGTGAGGTATGTTGTAGCAATTCTGCAAGTGATGTCTTCTTTTTAATGTCACATGATTTTTTTTCAGATAAGTCAATAGGTATTTTAAACCTTGAGTGGGCTGTCCGGCCACATGGGAGCAGAAGTGAGGCTATTCCAGAAGCTGCGACAGCAAGAACAACCTTCCCCAGTGATCTGAAATATGAGATAATAACAGTCCATAAGAAGGTTTTGCCAGTACCTCCATGTCCATAGACAAAAAGTAGACATTGTTTTTTCATCTCATGTGAAGTAAGAACTGCATGGTAGACAACCAGTTGCTGTTTGTTTAGACGTGACACCATTTGGAGATGTTGTCTATATAGATCTTCTTTGTCATACATGTTTTCTTCCAGCAGAAGACGGTTGGTCAGGACATTTGTGGAAGAAGCTAATGGAGTGGATAGCCTGAAGTCAGCTAATGATCGACTTGGAGTACTTGATCGGAGGATGTTCTCTAGATCCAGAAGAAGTTGTTGCTGAATTATATCAGAATGTACATCAAGGCTGCTATCTGGAAATTCTACATGAACTCTATGTACATAATCATCCACCATTTTATCATATGCAGCTTCCCACAGTGAGACTGGATTGGTGACCTCACAAAATAAAAGAAGATGACAGAAAAGAGACCGTAGCTGAGCGGAAGTGCCCCAAGATGACGCTTCATTAAACGCAGCCATCCATTCAATATCACCTCCTATCAAACCAAGAACGTTACATGCATCACGAAAAAGTTGGATGTAAGACGCCTGATACTGTCCGAACATCTTCATATGATGTACATCCTTTTTGGTGGCACAGCAACATCCGTAGATAGAACAGTTCGCATGAAGATGGATGCACAAAAAGCAGCCTACCGATTGCTGTTGAAGATTCATAAACCCTTGGTGACCATTCTTTTGAATCGAAAATCCCATTTATATTCTTTTGGATAGTCCATGTAGGTTAGATCATGTCCCGTAGGGTCACGTGCATTACTGTCGAACCATCCTAGAAGTGGTGTTCTTCCGAGGGACGGATTACTAAGCACACGGTGTAGTGGCATATCAGCTCTAAAGATGACATTTTGCATATGAGGCAAATGGACAGGCAGTGTCATTACAGGTGGACGTCGGACATGTATATCGAAATTCATAATCCTCCATGCAGCCTCATGAGGACAAACAAATCGGCCATCAAGGAAGGCATTTACCTCGTTAATTGGGCGGATGTCATGAGCGGAAGTGGTCTCTGCAGAAGCCTCATTTTTCTGAACTGTGAATCTGATGCATTCGACGCCTTTTGATATGTATTTGAAAAGGTATTTTACCATCATGTTCCAACCACAATATTCCACATTTATATGCGCTCTAAACCGGGAAGATAATCTTTTGTTGTATGGTACAACATAACCATTGTCAATGACGATCCCGTTTCCCATTGTGTGACATGACTCACTGTTTCTTTTGTAACAGGCATACCCATTTTTGTCAAAGAAAGTGCTCTTTTGGAATGGTTTTGGATACTTCTTGCTGCAATTATCGTTCTTCATACATGGTGCAGACTTATTTAATAATCCACAAGGACCATGAATCATGCAGTTTGTTATTACATCATACAGTTCTCTTTCTAATGAAGGATCAGGCAACTCTGCAGTTATATACCTATCAATGTCAGCCGGTTCTTTTATCCTATCTGCAGATGATGTCCATAACAATGTATGACAATGTGGAAGGCCTCTTTTCTGGAATTCTATTGTGTATAGATCTGAGTACACATGAAATGGACGTGTCAGATTACAGAAACAACTATATGGTAGAAAGGAAGGTATAAATAAATGAATGTACGATGCAGTGAACAACTGAATAGACACTTACATCCAATGACATCACCAAAGGTCTTGTCTTCCTTCATAAACCTGATAAAGGCGTCAATTTTTATTTGGAAGACACGTGAAATAATGTCAGCTCTACTGTGAACATCACGCTGCTGATGAAGATCCATAAAGCATTGGATCTCTGGCCACTTACTGTTACATGTGAAAGTAATGAAAAACTGTGGATTACCATACACCCTGCAAATAGCTAGTGCATCTTGGTAATGTTTGTACATGTAACGGGGACCACCAACAAAGGATGCAGGTAAATAAACACGTTTACCCACCACTTTATTGTCCCTATCGCCCTTCGATAGTGCATCATATAAACCACTCACATAATCTGACCTTAGCTGTTCTTGATGATGCAGAATGTATTCCAACCGATCTGCCTCAACACAGGTATATGCGTCGACCAGATATTGCTGGAAGAGGCGCCCTGATTCCAAGACATGTGAGTATATATGCTGACGCGGATGTATCTGATAGCTGTAATACATGTTGACAATGAGTTTTTTTGCACAGGAACCGGTTTTGTTTTGAAGCTTTAAACGTGGTGACCAACCATCCTCTCCATATGGAAACAACAAAGGGTATTGTAGGGGCATATAACTCGGATGTAATTTACTAACACGCTGAGCATTACCACCTTTTGATTGGACAACAATATCATATTTTCCACAAATATTTTCATCACCTATGATCATACACCCTAGGCTACCCGGAGCTGGAACAGTATATCTACGATCAGGGAGGTCACTATATAAGCAGACAGAGTAAGATTGTAATCCCATTTCATCAGCAATCTGTTTGGATGTTTTGAAAGTACGTATGTACTCATTGTGTGCTGTTAAACATCCTATAAGAACTTTAACTGTCTCAATGTCCAAGTCTTTCTTTTTAACAGAAGGAAAGACATTAAGTCTGTTGGAAGCTTCATTGTCAGTTTCATAAGTGTATAACTGCAAGAATCTAGGGCCGTTATTATCTTCAGGACATAGGGACCCAATCGAGTGGTAGATTTGACCAGAATCTTTAAAAACATATGGTCCACGACCATCATTAACTGCTTCATCGACATCAGCCCCAAAAGAAGTCATAGAGAACATACTGTTGTATGCCCTGATATCAGCCATGAAGCGACTGTTTAAATAAAGGGATCGAATTTCAGGAGGTGGGGGGAAAGGGTAAGGGAGGATAACGGTACCAGACTTACAGCATTGAGTGTACACCGGCCGATTTGGGAAGGAAACCATGAGCAGAGGAAGACGAAGAAGGCGCCGTATAAGCGAATTTCCGCTTAGGCATTTTACAATTCGATCTGGGAAGGGAACCATGAGCAGAGGAAGACGAAGAAGGTGTAACACCCAATTTTTCAAAACAATTTTTCATTTCAAAACATACTTTCCACCACATAAAAATCACAAAATCATAATAAATCTTTGTATCATCACAAAACATGTCCCAAGATCTCATATAAATAAATCCTCTCTCGTGTGTACGAATCATGCCGGCGCCTTCCCGCGATCCTCACTAGTACCTGAAACACATCACACAACAACTGTAAGCATAAAAACTTAGTGAGTTCCCCAATATACCACATACAACACATACGCCACTCGAGGCTACAATACGACCCTCCGGTCCGATGTGTCTCAGCGGGACCCTCCAGTCCCGTAGCTCGTTGGACCCTTTGGTCCGGTCATAGCTCGTTGGACCCTTCGGTCCGGTCTGTACCGTTGGACCCTTCGG